ATATAATCTTTCATTGATAATTCATCCCACGGTGACAATAAACTGAATAAGTACGCTAACGTTGCTAACATAATGAAAATAAATAATATTAAAGTTATAATATGCGTTTTTAAGCTATAAAAATTGTTCATCAAAAAAAGTTTTTACGTAATTGTATTATGATATAATACACAAAGATGGCTACTTTTTTAAAGTAAAAAATTATAAAATTATAATCACTTAATATCATTTAAAACTTTAAAAGTGATAAAAATATCATTACCCGTAGTAGCATTTATATATTTAATAGTTCAACGATGAATACCTATTATAAGATTATCTAAAAAAAAAAATCGACAAAATACCAGTAAAAATATTTTTATAATACTTCACATTGTATATTAGGCACGATCGATATTTTATTATTATGAAAAAGTATCATGACGTGACTAAACGCCCATCGATCAATTCTACCGGAAGTTCATAAATCTATACAATAAAATTGTAGAAGGTTTTCTTCGCATATTGAATTTATGCGCTCGAAAACACTTAGAAGTTTAGGTTTCTTAATTCGTAATCGAATGTATTTAAAAACGAGCTGTTTCTTAAAACATTATACATCATACTATAGTTAGACCGATATTAGATTTCTGTTCCGTTCTCTAAATTCCGTTTCTCTATAGTTCTCCGAAATCTCTAACAAATTGACCTTGTTAAATCCTTTAAACGTGTTCAAAGAACGTGTTTACGTTTTATAGTGCATATGAGAAAACTATATATTAACTTAAATAGGTAATTGTCAGCAACTATTTATTTATCGTCAATTCAAGGCAGCCTTGCTTTTAGCATAGATTCTCTTGACATAAATCTATGAACATTTGTTTCATGTGCTAATTAATAAAAGACGTTTTAATATTTGGTACAGATTTATTACAGTTTTCTTAATATTTTGTAGAAATCTGTTTAACTTTATAGGTTGATATTTTATTCAATTTTTTCTATGAAATTATTATTAATAATATTTATTTTATGTTATATAGTATGTGATAATATGATCTATTAATTACTATTTTATGTATAGTTAAGTTATATTACTGTAAATTTACTTATGCTGTACATGAGAACATTATAGAAATTTATAATAATAAATTAATACTAAATAGTTATCTAAACAGAACTTTGTCAAAAATTCATATTATAATAATGTAAGTGAAAATTGAATGCTAGTAAATTATGGAAATAACAATATTTTATATTTAGGTACACATGAATAATATTGTAGAATACTATAATATTGATAGAAAGTTTTGCTGTACTGTTGCAATTTATTTTACCAATCATTTTTAACATATAGTGATTTAAAATCTATTTATATCGATACATAAATTTATAAAATAATTAATTATTGATATGTATGAATAAAAAAATATGTACATACGTATAAATATATTTATGTTGTTCATATGACGTGTGCTCTGTAAAGTAAAAAAAAAAAAAAATGAATTATCAGTTGAAAATATTGTATTTTTTTTTTTACACAATTGTAGAAATACAATGACAAACATTTATAGAAGATAAATGATCATCAGAGTCATATAATATAATTGTTTAAATTTATTATATTTATAGGATTGTCCCAAATAAATAGAATAAAAATGATAGGGGAACCGCCATTAATGTCCGGAAACCATAACTTTTCCGCCATTTGTATTGTTACGGGTCAGTAAGTACAATCAAGTTTTGTTTGTTCAGCGGTTTTCAAAGATGATTTTTCTTTAGTCTACATAAAAAAACTACTATGTTGAAAAATCACCGCACCGTGAACGAAACCGTATAAAATAAATCTTCCCAATTTGTACAGCTTTTATCACTGTATGAAATTTTATTAATCGTGACCAAAGCGGTTTCTGTGCGTTTTATATAAAAATACGATTAATTTATCTGTTATTTTTCTATCCCCAGCCATAATAATAAATGATAATGGTTGTAAAATGTATCTACATTGAGCATTGCAGATGTGATTATGAGATTGCGAAAAGAAACGGTTTACAAAATAAAATATAATATATATGTCATCGTTGATAATAACAATACTATAAATGTTGCTTAAGTGTATTATGTATTATATAATTTATGGATATGTGACTTTAATACTATTTATAGTTGAAATAACAATTGATAAATTTTCATTTTTAATTTGTAATAAGCAAGTAAAAGATAGCTAAAATAGATTTAAAATAAGCCATAATTTATAAATTTTTAATAAAAATAGTCAAAATATAATAAATTAAATTTTTTGAAATTTATTCATCATTATTATTAATCAGTAAATAAAATAAGTAGGTACTAATTTTAATAAAAATATTTATAAAATTACTGTTATTTTTTTTTTCAATTTTATAATAATATACTTAATTAATTAATAGAAGCTTCTTCAGTGATTTTTTCCCCATGTGACTATATTTTCATTTGTGACTTTTTTTCGGCATCCGTAGTCATCTATGAGTTTGTGCAAGTCTAAATAAGAGGCTTAATCGAAAATAAGTAAAACACAAATTGTATTAAAATAAACCTTCTACTACTACCTAATAATTAAATTTCCATATAACAAAAACATTACAGAAACTTTTAAATCGTTTTTTTATTCATCTAAAAATAAGTAAATATTTAAGATTAGGGCTTAGAAAATAAAATAATTAACATACGAATCTTACTATTATTTAATTTAAATAAATTACATAATATATAGATACAATATGATTATCTGAACACTAAACCACATTAAAAAAAAATATTAAAATGTAACTTAAATGTATACTATTTTTTTTTATGGATCGGTATGAGATATCTCATCATTTTGGTTTATTAATTATTTTGTTTATTAGTAGTCTAGAAAAAATTAAAAAGTATTTTCTAAATAATAATGATCTTCACCGGATATTAATGACATTGCATATAATTTTTGATGAAAATATATTTTCGTCAACACTTTGTTGATAATAATATTATAATTAACAAAATCGAAATTATTTTGTTTTAAAACAGAAAAACGATATAATATTAAAAAGAGATTTTTTTCTTTTAATAGTATAGTACTACTTTTAAAGATGTAGATTATAGGTAATTAATCAGAAAACAATTAAGGTACTATTATGAAATTGTTATCAATTATTATAATATTATTTTTGTGTTTATCAAATACATAACTTTAATATTTATTTTTGTGTAATATACTTAACTTATTTTTTTTTTCAATAATCTATTATACAGCTTTAATAGGTTATGATTGGAAAAATCACAAAAAGGAATCTTGGTCAAAATATTCAAATGATAAAAAACTCAGTGTTAAAAATAAATGATAAAAAGTCTAATAAAAAAAAAAAAATATGAAAAATAGTTTGTTTAAAAAATTAGATTAATTAAATAAGATTGTCAAATATTTATAGCATAATATAATAAACTATTTTATAAAAAATTTTTCCCCATATGCATATTATATTAGTTTTTTAAATTTATTATTGGCACTTGGTAACTATTAAAAAACTAAATTATTGTTTAAATTATTTTAACATCAATGGTTTAATTAAGTTTCCATTATAATTAATGAATCACACAAATAATTATATTATAATCAATCTTTTTAAACGGCCTATTTTCAATTTGTTTTTTAAATTTAAATAAAAAATCCAAATCCCTTGAATATTTTGTCTCAAGACACTTTAACTTAGATATTTTAATAAAGGATGTTTTTCCTTAGAACCACTAAGGAAAATACTGACTATTGATTTATTTATCATTGCTGATATTACTAAACTTGGTTTACCTGATAATAAGTCATTTATATAAATAATTATGTTAATACTTCAATTTTATTTTAGTACTGTTTTTACAACTTTTCTTATAACTTACCATAATGAAACATCCAATACAGTCTATTTATACACAATTAATTTATAATTCTACCAGCTATATAGATTTTTTTTTTTATAAATACAAGGTTACTTTTTACTCAGGCAACGATGTATTAATAAATTGTTTTATAACTCACGAATGAATTTAAAAAAAAGATTTTAAAACCCCAATGTAATCACAGTTGCATAATTACGTACAAATGAACAATTATTTACTTTTACGACATATTTTTTTCCAGTATAATCTCATTATGCATATTTAGTACGGTTACAACAGTCACATTGTTTATGTGTCATTTTATCAAAGAACTTGTTTCAATTTCCAGGTAGACGATATAAAGATCTTTCTTTGTTGCAATTATTATATTGACCGAAAGAATATTCCGCTACCGAGTGGTATTAACTCTATCTATAATAAAGGGTGCCTCCGTTATTTTTAAACAGGTTTAATACGTGCAATCAAGTTGTTCGATGTATTTTTAATAGTGTAAAATAATGATGTTCACTTTACATATTTTACTGCACATTGGAAGGCAATAAATTATAAATTTAGAATTATTTGCCATAAAATATGTACTCATATAAAAGGATCATTATGGGTTCTATTTTTTATTACTATAAAAAAAAAAAAAAAAAAATATATAAACACTAAATAAACAGTATGTTATTTATAGATGTTATTAATACTAACATGTTTTAATAACGTTAAATAATATTTGTCTGCAATTGATGGTTGATTTTATGTTTAAAAGTTATGCGTATATCACATGTAAGAATGATGGTATTTTAATCTAATTACAATAAACTAAATTTTTTTTTTAATTTCTATTAAATCTTTTGCAATATTTTTAGTAGTACAGGGTTTTACACTAAATGTGGGTTGAACTTGCAACACAAAAAATGTAATATACTATTTTTCCTCGGTAAAGTACTCTCGTCTTAAACTTTTTAAAATTTTATTTGTTTGGAAACAAAAAATAATAATAGGAAGGTATAGACATCATAATTTGATTTTGACATTAAAATAATAGATTGACACACTACTTCCAAGTTCCAGTATTTTAGAACCGATATTAACCATACAGTTAAGTTACGACTTATGGCAAACTCTTAAGTCATCATAGTCATCCATTTTGATCGTTTGATGACAGCGATGCGTGCCCGCTTTAGAACGTCTGGTTCGAGCATGTGCCGTACAAGCTGTTTAGCTGGCGAGGAAACCGTTCGCTTGTACGTCGGTCGGAGGAGAACAATGTCGCCCGACACCTGTTGCGCGACAATCTGTTTAACACTGCCGTCGTCGAACGGTACTTGGCCGGTCAACATAAAATGCAGCACACCTCCTGTAACGTATTAGTCCTCTGGTCTTAATGGCGTGGCCAGGGGACTGTAAGTAATATTATAATGGCAAGTCGGTACGCAGTATTGTTATAAATATTTATGACGATCTCGTAATGCGCGTATATGATCCGGGTGGTTCGGGTTTTGACCCGAACCTATACGGACGCAAAACACGACGAAACTAAGCATCATATCTAGCATACATTTTACTTCAAAACACCGTCGCAAGTGCATTAATAAACCTATCGGTGGACTTGAACTATTTAAAAAAGTATATTCCTTTAACTTTTTAACTTGACTTTATATAGTTAATTTTTAAATCAGTGTTGCTTTTTTCAGTTTATTAAAAATGATGTTAAAATAATCGTTAATCGTTGTTGAAATTAAACATTTTTGGTTTAAATGGTAAGTTATAAATCAATTACTGTATTACATGGTTTTAGACAAAAATGATCGAATAACTACTATATATTATTATATATGTTAAGAGTAATAATTAATGCTTAGATATATAATAGTTACTGCTATATATTTCTTGATGAAATAATACACATCACATAATATACTATGTGATCTTTATACTGATTAAAAGATTAAATCAACTTTTTTAATAATCTGAGTTAACCAAATTAATTACCTAGTTAATATTTTTTTTCTGTTAAAATTTAAACTATTAAGTTAAATGTATTATTTGTTATCTGACTTAAGATATCTATGTAGTTATATGTTCACTTAACTTAATTTAATTTGAGTTAAATATTTTCGGTAATTTGTTCTCATATGTAAGTACTTATCATAGTGAAATTTAATGTTATGTCATAGTGAGTGTTAAATGGTATACTTGGAAAATTAATTTTTTATTTTCACCATTTTTGATTCCCTAAATAGTACAGAGTATCTAACGACAAATATATATGATTCAATATAGTATTACTAAAATTCAATTATTTTAAATGCATGCTGTGTCTCACCCATTGACCAAATATCAAAGAATTTAGCGTTATATCCGTTTTTTGAACTCATCAATACTTCCGGTGGCATAAACATCCTTGTACCACAGCAACTTAACAACAATATTCGTTTATCGCTCAACGATTCTCTACAAAAAATTGACAATCCAAAATCAGCCACTTTCACTTCATTTTGATGGTTCAGTAATATGTTTTCTGGCTTAAGGTCTCTATGCGCTATGTCCAGGCTATGAAGGTACTCGATTGCTGCCACAATTTGAGAAAATAGAAAACATGCATCATGTTCCACGTAAGGACCGTATTTTTCAACAGTTTTACACATATCGCCATTCCTAAACGTAAAATACGAATTTACATGATGTATTCTTTCAATATTTTAAAAACTTACGAACTTATAAGTAGGTATAAATATTCTACATTGTTTAAGAACTATAAAAATAATTAAGTACTAAAATGTTATTTTATTATTTTCAAATATTGAGTATATTTAAGTACAAATTATTTTTAAATGTAAGAACTGAATACAATTATTCCATATAAATGTATTAATATTAAAATTTCGAAAACTATTTATTTAATAATACATACATGGAAAATGCTTTTTTAAATAATAGATTGAAGACCGTTATTATAGGTTTAATACTCAAAAATATTTATTATATAAACGTATAAAATATTAAAAAAATCTCTTAGCTTATTGATGTTTATCAGAACCATTTAATTAGCTAAAGAGCAGTAAGACTGTATACTTGCAGTATTCCATGTACATGTAGACGTAATGATTATGTATGATAATTTTAATGAATTTTATTAGATTTGGATGATTGACTTTTTTTGAAATGATAATTTCGCGTTTAATCGCCGATTTGTTGCATTGACATATTGAAGATTTTTTGTTGATGATTTTCACAGCAAAGCCAATAGTTTTGTTATTTACCTTTGCTACACAGTATTTGACTTTCCCAAATGTTCCTTTTCCTATGGTGTTTTTAAAATACACCTTTATTTGGGTATTGTACTCGTACGATACTGCGGTTGTTCTATTTTGTTTTATTGTGGCCGTTTCCATTACAGTGTATTTTATTTTAACGACAATTCATAAAGTATTAACATGGCGTGACTTCAGATAAAAACAAATCAAACAACTAAACCAAATGTGCCGTGAAAATGACGTATTAATAATATACGATTTAATGGAAACACCAGTAACCATGACGAAAATTGCTAGTTATCGCTTCCCTACCCAGCTAAATTTTCTTAGTGTCATCTTTAGTATAAAGTAATTGTTTTTAATAATTGAATACTAAAAACAGGGTCGTGAACAAACTCGTGTAATCGATGTCAAGTTATTTTAAATAATCTATATGAATATTATACCCTTTATTATAGATCTGATATAAAAAAAGTTCTATAATTAATGGTTATGCAGTTAACTGGCCAACTAAGTGTGTACGAATAAACAAGTATTATGTATAAAATCAATACAATAAAAATATACTAAGGCTTTGATTTCACACAAAATTCATTTAAAATAAATAATGCAATTTTACATCACATTTTTAATTTTAATTATTTCATAGAAATATTTTGTACAACCAAGAACAATTTACCTCTTAACCATTATTTTTTAAATTTTGAAGGTAATAATAATATTTTTTCTTATATGGAATACAAATATTTGTTTAAACTAATTTATTCATATTTTCGTATAGATCTTTAATAGTCATTAAGTTTTTAACAAAAAAATTATTTTGTTTAATTTTGTATAATAATGTTATAAACTTCTAATAATATAACTATAAATTATTTTTTAAATGATTCTATGTATATTATATATTAATATCTTCTATAAAAGAAAATAAAACGTCAATTTTCCTACAAATTAGAAGTTATACATGTCATATGAAATTATATTAAGAATTACCTATATAAAAAAACAACTGTAAAAAAATTGCCATTTAAATCAGTTTATAAAGTACTGGTATAACATGTAATATAAATGGCCACATCTTTGTAGTACTAAATTACATTTAAAATATTTATTCAAATCTCATCTATAATCAATATAGTTATCTGTAATTTATATCCCTACAAAAATAAAAGGTTTTAAGACAATAATATTATATGTTTATACAATTGAAATGTTGTATGTGCAATCGAATTAGTTAAAGACAAAATAAAATAAAGACTTACAGATACTATATAATCTGAACCCAAACGGGTTAACCTTGGTACCTATTTCTTATGGTAAGACAAATAGTAAAAAATTGGATTATCAAAATTCAAAACTCTGAATTATAATTATTTTCAAACATTTGTCTTTTTAATATTAAGAACGGATCCATTTTTCTCTAGTAATGATAGATATCACTTTCTTTTAGTATCTATTTTCCGCCACTAAAAAGAATAATTTTCATTTTCTTCAATAATATTTAAATATTTAGTCGACATTAATTTTGTAGAATTGTATACCGAAATATAAAGGGATGAGTAAGGTTAGGATCTCATATACTATATATATACTTATAATGAGTTTTATCGGTCGCAAATCCGCGTCTAAATAAAGACAATTTTAAGAAATTTACTATAAAAATTAAAATAACTATTCGCCTGTCTAGTATTTCATTGCTAAATAAATATTTATTTTTTGTGGAATATGTTCTATAAATTATGATTATAATTGTTCATAATTCACAAGTAAATCATTTTTTTTATTATTTTAACATGACTTAAAAATATATTCATTATAAAATTTATTATTCATTATTAGAGGAAAATAATATTTTATTACTGGAGGAAAATACCTATGGCCCAAATTAGGATCTGCAATGAATAGATTTTATAAGATGATTATCAGACACTTTATACAACTAAAAAAAAAATAAAATGTGTGATATCTTTATTGCATTTTTACTATTTCGGGTAGAAAAAAAATATGAAATTGTTTATAATATTATTAATACTCATTTAATAAATAGATACAGGTAGTCAATAGTTTAATTGTAGATTTCAATTAGAAATGAATAAGTTTTAATTACTATTATTACATATACCTATATATATGAACACATATAAATTCTTAAAAATAATGATTTTTAAAAATCATAATTTATTATATAACATAAATTTAAAATCTAAATGTATGAAAAATCGTTTTACTCGTTTCACGTAATTTTTGAGTATATATAGTTATATTGTTTCATTCTAATAATGTATACTGATGGCTCTCAAACTCAATTTTTTTTTTTTTTTATATTCATATTGTTAAATATCACCAAGCTAACATTAATCATAACCACGATCGTGATCACAACCGGCCGATCTAGAATTTTAAACTACAATCTAAGTTCATCCATTAAATTTCCCAGTTTATTTCCATCTTACAAAGTGTTTAAACGTGTGTAAATCAAACAATAGACAGTATACAAAGTGTCTGTTTACCGTTTTTTAAAGTCATGAAATAGACGTATATGTAAAAAACTTTAAATCGAGATGTCAATTTTGAGTTTATCAATGAGAATACTCGAGCAACTTTCTGCAGCAAGACTGATCATCTAATACATTTATTTGATAAACAGAAATTAGGGACGTGTCGATATTGTAAAAAGTTTTATTAATTTATTATAGACGAAAGTTTTGTTTTTTTTTTTTTGCATTTTACCTAGTCAAAATTAAAACGAAACATTGAATCGACATTTAGGCATAAAAACATACTCGCATCTTAGAATACCTATATACATAGTAGGTACGTATTAATAATTTGACTATGGAAATTTAAAAGAAAGATGAAGGACTGTTTCACACGATTTTTATTTTTGTTTAATACCTATAATTGTTTAGTTATCTATATTTATATATATGTATATGTGTAGTTATATTACACTGTCGTTCCATCCCACATTCTCACGATTACCTAATTTCGCCGAAAAAATAATAAAATTTGAACATTAAAATACATAGTATCTATACTAGCTACGAACCACAAGTCTTCTGTATGTACGACCGAAGTCGCGTATGTCCACCAGAGGTGGCAACGGCAACACAAAACGCGCACCACCTCCCAGAGACCGCGCCCATCGGGGAGACCGCCTACCCGATCAACTAATATAATCGTGAACGGCAGTTGTTACCACGGTAACCGAGCCACTGCTATAACGACATCGGTAGTGGGGTACGTGTGTGTCGAGTCGTCTGGCTGGCTGGCCCGGGAGTCGTAGTCGTCGTGTTAGTCGGCCGCAAAGCCTATACGTTGCATACACGCACAGCAGGTCGCGCGATCGTCGGGAAAAAAGAAATTAAAAGTGATAATAATAGTAATAATAAAGTTTTGTTATAGTACAAACATATTACTAGAGTAAACGATTGTTTCGCGTTTATTGTGTCCTTGTCGTTCTGTCCGTTCGGTTCCGTTTAAATGACTCGGTAATATTTTATATCATTATATTTCGTTTGGTATATCAGCTCACTACGGTTTTCGACGTCCGATTAAATTCTTCTGTCGTACGCTATCGATATACATAAATTTTTTTTTTGTGACCACATCGTACCTCACATATAATCAGTTATCTATATAATACATACCTACGCGTCCAGTCGTGTCATGTCGTCGTATCGTTGAGTCGAGTGGATGCACAACAGTGATGTTGATCGGCAGCGGTACTACAGGAAACTTCGGGAGTTTCAACGTGGATCATCCGGGCGGGCCCAGCATCATCAGCGGGTTACAAGGATCGCCTCATCACGCGAGCACCGCCAGCCAGCCTCAACAGCATTCGCCGGGTTCGTCATCGGGCGGTGGTGGCGGCAGCGGTGGTGCCGGAGGAGGTAGCGCCATGACGCCACTGCTGCCGTCGTTCGGGTTCACCCAGGAACAGGTAGCTTGCGTGTGCGAAGTGCTTCAACAGTCCGGAAATATCGAGCGGCTGGGCAGGTTCCTGTGGTCGTTGCCTAGTTGCGATAAACTTCACAAGCACGAGAGTGTGCTCAAGGCAAAGGCCATCGTGGCATTTCACCGGGGTAACTTCAAGGAGCTGTATCGTTTGTTGGAGAGCAACCAGTTCTCCGCTCACAACCACCCCAAGCTGCAGGCGTTGTGGCTCAAAGCGCACTATGTGGAGGCCGAGAAGCTCAGGGGTCGTCCGCTGGGTGCTGTCGGAAAGTACCGTGTCCGTCGCAAGTTTCCGTTGCCCCGAACCATATGGGATGGCGAGGAGACCAGCTACTGTTTTAAAGAAAAGTCCCGGATGGTGTTACGCGAATGGTACGCCAGCAACCCGTATCCGAGTCCCAGGGAGAAAAGAGAATTGGCTGAGGCCACTGGATTGACTACAACCCAGGTGTCCAACTGGTTCAAAAACCGTAGACAAAGAGATCGAGCAGCCGAACAGAAAGATGGGTGAGTAATATTCGTTTTATTAATTACATATATTAATAAAATATATCCTTCTTCCGTAGCTCTATAAAATATAATATAATGTTGTTATTAAACCTATTCCGTTATAACGCTCCGAATGTTAGACTCGCTGCAATTGTATACCAGCTTTTCTTGTGACAATGTTTAAATTACCATGTAACAATATTGTGTGACGAGCGCACCCGGAAGACGAGTGTTACTGGAAAATTAACTCGGCCCGGTAATGCTCCCTGAACGCAACCGCAAAACACTTCCTAAAGAGTAATTGTAACAAAATATTTTCATCATCTCCACATAACTTATTATGCATATGTAATATGTATATTGTATATGCAATCAAAAAAAAAAAAAAAAATACAAAATTAAATCATTTTCTAAATATTATAGTGAGTAGTGGCTACTTAAAAAAGCAGCTTTGAATAAATTCATAAATATTGGAAATTTGAAATACTATAGCCAAAACTAATGTATATGCAATTACTATAACTTATTATATATTTTACACTAATTCGATAAATTCGCTCATAGATTAGACTCGTGTTTTATAAATAGTTTTGTTTAAAATAACAAATTTTTAATTAAAAATATATGATCATTCGCATAGTGTGTAAGCTATATTTATATATTACTAATTAGGTGTTATCAACTTAAATTTAGCCCATGAGATAAAAATACTCGATGTTAATCCAAAACCCCTATAGTAAATTTATTGAATAATGAATAAAAATAAAGTACTTTTTGACAATTATTTTATTAGTGTTATTGGTAGGTATTTACTATGGCTATTCAAATTTGAGTCTTAGAAACTAAAATATTGTAGTTGCACTTTAAACATTTGATTCAGTTAACTATGAGTTCAATGTTCATTCAATTATTAGGACAGAAAAAGAAATTATAGAAAATACAATTAATAAATTATTAAAAATAGATATTATTTAAAAATATTTTTGATTTGTAAACGTTTCTGTTTATTTTACAGTAAAAAAAGTTACATTTTATTTAAAACACAAATGTAAATAAAACAAATATTACTATTTAATATTGATTGATTAGAAAATTAATTAATATTTTAATTGAACCTAAAATGTTTAATGAGGTAATAAAAATAATTTTGCCTATTTAACCTATAGACAATAATATCTATAACTACGTTTAATCTATACATTAAGATTTTTATCAAAACATTATTTAAAAAAAAGATTAAATTCTAAAAATTTTGAAAATTTTAGATTGAAAATATTTTATAAAGTTAGAGAAATACCGTCAATAAAATCTCATAATAATTGTGATTTACTTATAAATATAAATTTAAATGTAATAAAGGTACAAATAATATTATAGTGTATAAAGCTTTGAAACCAACTAAATTAAAAAATTAAAGCATAATATTAATAATTTTAATATTTGTAATAGTAAAACATAGTTTTTAAATAAATATAGTTCAAAAAATATTGAAATATCGTAATATAATTAATAAATATACCTACAACGATTGCAACACATTAAGGTCAAATAATAAAATATATAAATAAAAACTATTTTGAAATAAGCGACAAGCTCAATTAATTTCATATCAATTATAACTTATAATTATTAATTTATCCATATAAATTATAAAACGATTATATTTTAATAATTAAAAGTTTGAGAATTAAAAATGTTTATTTATTTTTTTGAATTTGCCTATCTTTATCTATACTGATACACTTTTTAAAATTTAATTAATTTAAAATACGATAAACGTTATACATTTTATCATACTAGATTAATGAAAAATTTATTATTATTATTATATTGATAAGTTCAATATGACCTCATCATTTACTCTCTTAGAGAACTAATTTCTGTAAAATCTCATACTGGTGACCGGAAGCGTATTGTAGTTGACCCTGAGAAAAAAATGATTAGTGAATGACCCTAATCAAAATATCTTTTTTTACAATCCATCACAATAGAGCTCTCTGTAAAGTATTATAAACAGGTACTATAGGTTTATGTAGACTGCAGACGTTAATTTACCGATAATGACAAAAAATATAGCCGCGACAAAGCGATAACTTAATATTGTAAACAAGGCGTAAGCCAAGCGGGCTACAACGACCTCCGGATGATAACGAATTTCATTAATACGGATGTTGATCGTTTAAGTACATAAAATTGAATGAAACGATTATGCATTACACATGTTGGGTTATTACTTTATATTCTGCATGTGTGTTATAGTATATTATATTATATAAATTACACACAATGCCGTCTTTTAACACCCCACTGGGCACTGAACTACCCTCTCATTTTTCTCTCAAGGGGCTAAATCACTGGAATTAGTTCGATAAATCATATCATATGCTCTGAACTCAACGGGGTATGCTCGTAATAAGTTATTCACGTTGTACATGTTCTCCAGATGATATCGACAATTTCGGACACATACTTTTCGAAACGTCATAACTATCTATTACGAGTTATGTTATATTTTTCATTTAAATTCCACATAATATGAGGAATCTTTTTTAAGATAAATATAAAATATTAAAACAGTATTCAGCTTAACGAAAAATAATTTTATAACGGACATTAAATCTTTGTCAAACATAGCAGGTTTAGATTGATAAAAAAAATAAAAAATAAAAAAATAAATAATTTTGATAAACAATGCTTATTGACTATATAATAGCGTATATTACCTAATTAGGTTACCAATCTCAATTTAATACACTCTATTGTAATAATAATAAAACATTATGTATAAACGAGTTTTACAAATACTTTTAGAGTATAATTTTATTTATAATATTTAGTGTTAACATTGTGTGTATTATAATATTAACAGTAAATTATTTTACTAAAATAATAATTAATTACTATAAATAATTCAAATTTACAAAATATAATTTGATTACAGTATTTAATTAAGTAAATTATGAAATAAATTAAAATATCCATTTTATTATTAAATATTTTCAAAGAGTAATAAACATTTAAAACCCTACATTTTAGGTAGAGCCAAAAAAACGTTTGGAATTAATACGATAAAAAATACAACTTTGTTATTTTGCCAAGTAATAAATACTGACATAAAATAGTCTTATATTTTTACTTTGGTACTTAAAAAAAATATGTCATCATTAAAATTAAACTCATTCTGTGTACTAAAATATTTCAAACGCTTTAATGGTAATAATTTACTTATTTTCATTGTAATGATTTAATTAATTTTATTTATGCTTATGATGATTAAGTACAGTACCTATATTTGTCAACAGACAATTTATTTTTGATTGAGTTTTTCAAATGACTTTAAAAAATTTTTTTTTCATTTCATTGAAATTATATTATTGTACATATTTCATAAATTCCCTAAACGATTGTGCATATCTTTGATCTCCGAGTGGTTTTAATTTTATCGCATTTAAAACTTAAGAAGTGATATTGATTATTCCCAAACTACATTTTTGTGTCTTGACCTATGACATACCAGTCTATTTCGTATATTTTTGTTTATGTTTATACAGCGCTTGTCTGCTTTAAAATACGGGACGATATGAAAATGTTTATTATTGAATTTTGCAAACATACGTATTCAAGACAATACTATAGACAGTGAATTCCCATCGTAGTATTCTCACTAACGCACAGTCGAGAAATGTGTTTGTTTAGGATGCCCAGATGCCCAAAAACATATAAAATAAATACGAACCAATAATGTGAAGAATTTCTATATAGTTTCAGTCGGTACGCTGAGTGTTGTCTGTGTTTATAAATATAATACATACAATGTACATTTTATTATACATGTACACATGAATAGAGCGACATATTGAATAATTGATTAAGTTATTTAATTTCGGTTTATTAAAATTTAAAATATATTGATATGTATCATAGTGTTCATTAACTGTTTTTAATTTATTATCTGTGAAATATTTAGTTTTTACATCGTTTAAAAAAAAACAGATCTTTTTATTTTTGAAATATTTTAGTATATTTAATATTTTTTTTATTATTAGACATTATGATACCCACCTAATGTTTTGCAATAAAGAGATGCCTATATTATATATTATTACATAAACTATACATATAAAGTTATTGGAGATGAATCAAATATTTTATTTCATCAACAATAAGAATTATGAAAACACATTTAACGTGTGTGCCGGGTGCCGTGCCCACTAATAAGACATGATAGAATTAAATATATTTTTAGCGTCTTTTGTCTCATTCTTAGTTTATTATTAAGTAAATGTTTAAAAAATAACTCATTTAATAGTGTATCACTACCTGCGTGTGTTGTATCCCACCACCCAAACAACGTAGTAAATTTGCGTTTTAAGCAAAATCAATTTTGTGTTGTCACTTAGTTAATTTCACTAAGTTATAGTCAATACAACTTGAATAATTGTAATTAATATTATTACAACTTAAAGATAAAAAGAAAATTATCTATGTTTTCAAGATATTTATATACTTTTAACCGAGTTATGGACATTTTAAAATTGTTTTTTCAAATCTTCATCATGATTTCTAGTAAATTATAGATCTCTATATGCATATGATATAATATATAATATATTTAAACCTGTTTGTGAATAATACAATATCTATATTTTAATAAAGGTAAACAGATAGTTTTATTAAAACTCACATAAAATATTTCTAAAAAAAAAATATAATTATTATTATTACCTATCGACATAATATCTATACCTACCTATATAATTGGTACTACACTATTTATCTGTTCACACTGTTCGCCACTGCCGTCGCGTTTCGCCGCCGATGAATATCAGACTTTAAAGTAAAAAAAAAAAAAAATACGTAATAATAATATTGATTTATTTTCTCGAAACGGATCTAATATCTCGGTAAATAACAATGTGAGATAAGCTGATAACAATATAAGCGAACATCGTCTTTACAAATGTAATCCGATATTTTATTTTGTCGTAATATACAATATACCTACGTGAATGTAAATG